GCCAAGACATACGTCTACTAAAAAAGGACGAGTTGACTGCACAGAAGTTCGAACAATCCTACTTTATGGCTATGAAACATGGCCAGTAAGAGTGGAAGATATTCATGGGGTACGTGTTTTCGAAGTATTACTCGTATGTCCTAGGACCACTGAGTAAACAACGCCGGGATTAGCAAACGAGTACTAGGTAAGGGTGGCAAATCAATTAATAAAGTCTGCAACTTCACCAGTTGAGGCGGTTGTGACATGAGTTACGGATGCCCAATCACTGACTACCTCGAAGAGTTTCTTCTGATGTAGAGATAGGTTGGAAGAATGCTAGGGGCGGCCAAATCAAATCATGGCACAAATCCATGAAATCACTGACTAGTGGACTGAGCCATGTTGGTAGATGTAGACTACCTGGTTGGGGTCCGCGAGACGAAAGTCACCAGTGGTTAGAGACCTTTAACGACATGGCTCAAAATCGTTTTCAATGGCGCAAGTGCATCCATTCGTTGTGCTCTCTTAAATCCTAAACTGGATTCGTCAGTACCTCTACCTTTGTCTTATAACCTTATCTCAATGAATTATACTTCTTCAATAATATCTTCGAAACCTATTCTTCTTCATTACCATTAATACCTCTACTATCTTTATCACTATGGGATTTGATTTGACATTTGCGTCTCTGTGCTGATGTGGTATGGCAACATGGACGTACGAAGTTCTACGTGGCAACTGACTGACTGACATGACCTTTATCCATCTTTTTTTGTGAATTTAGTTCACTGGATTACGCTTTTCCAACCATTTCTCCGAACTCAAATCTTTCCGATTATCGCTAGTACTTCTACTAACCCTATTACTATGGGATTTGAATCGAAAATCTGATCTCTGTTTGGAAATATGATATAGCAACTCGAAGAACTTTAACTAAACATTGAAATCAATCTGTTCAGAATAAATTAGTCCTTTATGAAAGACTTTTGAACATTAATTATATATTGAGATTAATCTCTGTTCTAGTAGACAATAACGCTGTCTTTAGAATGAATAAAAATGACTCATTTTTTAGCTATTGGTGTTCATAATAAACTGATCAATACATTAAGTTCAATCAAAATTGGAATGATTTCTGTCTATCTTGATTTGAAAAAATTTAGGCGAATTATTTTATTGATTTTCTTAAACGTAAAGGAAATAATATTGATTGAAATCATGAATCAATCATTGTTAGACCATTGTCGGAAACCTCATTGACTACATGAGGTCAGAACCTATTCTTATGCCCTTTTAGGGATTTTAAATGACATGGCTCGAAATTATTTCCAATGGCGCAGGTGCAACCATTCTTTGTATTCTATCAAATTATAATTTTCTGAATACCTCATCACCCTTATCTTTCCCTTTTTAAATTTATTTCACTGGTTTATACTTCTCGAATCATTCCTTCAAAACCTAGTCTTTTTCATTACTGTTAATACTTCTATTACCTCTACTACTACTATGGGACTTTGAGTCGAGAATTATGATCTCTGTAAGTGCTAACATGGTATGACTGCTTGAACTGATCTATGTACGTACAATGTTCAACGTTTTAGCTGACTGTCTAGTTAATGACAATAAACGGAAACTTGTTGATTGCTTGTAAAATAATTCACAGGAATTTCGACAATAGTTTTACTAATAATAATAAAATCCGTAGTTGAATATGCATCTCACCTCTACATATGATGCTTTACGAATCATTGTACTCTTTATGCAAAACGCTAATTCAAAAATATCTGTCATTAACCCCCTTGGGATAAACAAATTCAATTCAGGCAGAGTTTTAGAGGTTTTGTGTTTTTACACATTTCTAAAATCATCAATCAATCATTGTTAGACCACCATTAGAAACACACAAGCACTAGACGGCCGTTTCGCCCTGGTATGGGACTCATCAGTAGCAGTGTGCATCCACGACCCCTGCACCCCGCAGGATTCGAACCCAGGACCTTCGGTATTGTGCGCGAACGCCTAACCATTGGACCACTGGGCCGGTATCCAAAGGTGTTAATGTCTAACTCTGATTGATCTAGCGATTTTGCGCGACCTCACCCATTTGTCTTTGGTAGTTGACTGCCTACACCCGACAGGGTTGAACTCCTCCATTGGTCACGTCTTCTCAACTAGAACTCCGAGAATTTCCTCACGAAGCTACTAGTCACTAGTGAGCACTGTTACGATATTTTCGGGCAGAGTTTTGGAGGTTTTGTGTTTTTACACATTTCTGAAATCATCAATCAATCATTGTTAGACCACCACCATTAGGGAAACCTGGAAGCACTGAAAGACGGCCGTTTCGTCCTGGTATGGGATTCATCAGAAAATTCCAATGAACAAAACAAAACAGAAAACACAAACAGATTAGATGTCCAATTTTATTGAGAATCATTACGAGGAGGCAAGAAATAAAAAGCAAAAATCAAATGTTTACAAAATATATAACCAAGTAAAGAGCAAACAAACAGAGAAAGTCAGAGAAAAAAAACTTCTTTTTTCGATTTCATTTCCAAATATATACTACTTATAAAGAGTTATAGTTAAGAATCAATTGCATCATCACTAGACAAACGTATATGAAAAACCGGCAATGAATAATTGTCATGGATAAATACTTACATACATAGATATTTGAAGTCAGGGTATTTTACATTTCCAGAGAGAAAAGGAAGCAAAGCACATAAATATATATATAGCTTTTTTTAAAAACCCATCAAATGCTTCATATTAGATAATATTCTTATGAAACCGTGAAAAATGAAGCCTATGATAGCGGATTAACACACACACACACGGAGGGAGGGAGAGAGAGAGAGAGACAACCGAAAAGAAACGAAAAACACAATTGAGACGCTTCCGAAAACAACAAAACAACATCAGATTACAATGAACTACTTACTATTCAATGATAGATAAGCATAGTGTAATGAATAGATTTAGATTTAGAGAGTTAGGCACTTAACACAAACAAGTGGTGAAACACATAAAACTAGTGAATGAATGAATGAATGACACATTCGGAATTGCAACAACATGATTATTGTTTTCCTTTTACACTGGAAGAATCAATTGACGACCTTTGAGTACTATGACATAGAATAAACAATGAAAAAAGAGAAAATAAAGAACAATGATGTTTTTTTAATTTTTTTTTTCTTGAAAAAAAAATGACCGATCAATATATAAAAACCAATCAGTGTGTTGTACACATCACATATACATAATTATTGATTTTTAATTTAATATAGATGATAGTTCACTAAATACTTCATTGATACTATGACTGATTTACAACTATGAAAATTATACAGAGTGATAAGCCAATCATGAGATAGTAGTGTTTTCTTATTACATTGATTATTAGTAGTTGTAGTAGTATCAAGTTATTTTACTACTACTACTACTGGTTGAAGTGTATATGCACATTAGGTCAAGTTGTATCAATATATATAGAGCAGTAGTAGTACAGTGTAATGTGAAACTATTCAAGATAAATGATAAAGTAAAAGAATAAACTGACAATATCGAAGATATCAGTAGTTTAGATAGTTTAATGCAGATATACATTTTTACCAATTGTAATACTGTTTACTTTAGTTTTAATACGAAAACAACTCAATCAGTCAGTTAGTTGCAACGTAGAACTTCGTCCGTAAGTACATTAGTTCATGTCGCCATACCACATTAACACAGAGACGCAATAGTGGTAGAGATAGTAGGAGTATTGCTGGTAATGGAGATTGGGGTTCCAAGATATTATTGAAGAAGTATAATTCAGTGAGATAAGTTTAGAAAGACAAAGGTAGAAGTGTTGACGAACTGAGAAGATTAGGATTTGAGAGGACACAAAGAATGAATGCACCTGCGCCATTGCAAACGGCTTTGAGCCATGTCATTCAGGGTCTCCAACCATTGGTTACTTTCGTCTCGCGGACCCCAACCAGGTAGTCTAAACCTACCAGCATGACTCAGTCCACTTGTCAGTGACTTCATGGATTTCTACCATGTTTTGGTCTGACCGCCCCTAACTTTCTTCCAACCCGCTCCTACACCACCAAACATAGCTCGTTGAGGCAGTCGGTGGTTGGGCATTCGTAATACATGTCCCAATCACCTCAACTGATGAAGATTCAATACTTCATCTATTGACCTGCCATCCTTACCTAGCATTCATTTCCTAACTATAGCATTGCTTACTCACTTGTCCCACGATACACGAGCAATACTTCTAAGACATCCATGATCAAATACTGGTAACCTACGAATATCTTCTACTCTTACCGGCCTTGTTTCACACCCATATAGGAGAACGGAGCGGACTGCCGCGCAGCACACATAAGTGAAGCGGTCTACACGTCCGACTACTTCACTCCCTATCACTAGTTCTGGTGGAGTATTATTGAGGCCAATATTTTCGAAACTATATTAGTTAGACTTATTCCTCTGTGACTGTCACAAGAGGTTTTTTTCCTTTCTTATAAATTGGGACAATCAGCGATCGAGACCAGTCAGATGGGATTACGCCCAGTTCCCAAATTCTCTAACTGTTAAAACCGGTGTTTAAATTGAAAGGTACCACGTTTGAACACTGTATTATACATTAACACCGGGATACAGGTTCATCAGTCTGATGAGTCTAAAATAAGACAAAATATACTTCCTGGATTTCACTGCCAGACACATTCGATCCATATAAGCTTCCCAAGTTGTTAAATGAAGGTCCAGAGAAATGGACAGGCAACAATACGATGTAACTTAACAAATCTACTAACATTTATATATTAAGCAGTACCTCTACAAGCAAGAATATGAAACCATATTTCTCACCTCTAGTCACATAAAGGTAGAAGAAATCAATGTATAGTAATGTTTGAACACATCCAGATACAATAGCTACTAAATCATACACATCTTCCACATAATAACGATATATCCAATTCACCAAATATAAAGCACGATAAGATCCCAATGCGAATAAATAATGCGCAGTTATTGTTTCCGCTTCACCTGTACTACTGATCATGAATAATTGAGGTAGAATAGCAACAGATTCCAGATAGATAGAGAATGTCCATAGTATCTACAAAAATAAACATTTTATTGAGATGGACTTTTTGCATATAGATGTTAAACAGTATTGAATATACTGCAAACTTCTTTTTGAGCGAATTGTCGTTAACATTGAACGGATGGTGGCAAGAACTGCGTACAATAAGTAACAATGAATACTTTATATAGCTTACTAATTCAATATACTCATTTTGTTGATCAAGTTTCATCATATCATTAAAGCAATTAGACAACAACACTCACCAAATATTTAGACTCTAAATGATATTCTCATCGTGTTCTGTGTTTCGTATAACAGAGTACTACTACTAGTTATTTAATAGCTAATTGTTGCAGGCATTACGAACAAACCTCCGTTTTATGGTGGCATATTTACATCTGATGGTTCACTTAAAAGAATATTTACTTACTTTTTGTTGAGAATTGTCGATATAATAAGTTTCGAATAATGAAATACAAATTAGGGAATATAAGGTGAGAATGAGTTCAAGCTAATCTCAAATGGATGTGACTTTAGGTTTTAGGGATTATCAGTTTTGTCAACCTTGGAGAGTCAATGAATAATAAAAACTTAACGTATAAGTACATAGTTTTTGTTAACATTGACAATGTTAGTAGTTATGTCAGTAACCTCACAACTACCAAGTGTACAGTTCATATCCCCACCCTTTCTAACTATACATAAAATAATAAAGCTGTTTATTTGACGCGTTTCTGGGTTGATTAAACCAAAAATCAACCATAAACTGCTGAGAAAAATTTTTTACTTTGTTAATATTTATAAATGATCATCGAATAACATGTAATAAACACTCAGAGTACTGAATATATTCATAAAGATAACGAGTTACAAGAGCAAGTGAAGGATTCATGAAATGGTAATTTGAGTCTTGCCGTATTTCAGTCATGCACAAGTTGTTATATGAAAGAGTACAGATATAGTCGCCCTACCTGCATTCTCCGTGGTTCAGAAAAAATGAGTGAAGTTCTCAAGTAACAAAACAACTGCCAAAAGGATTTGATGTGTATTATAAGCTAAATGGTATTGATATTTCGTTGCAATTTTGGAAATGAACCACATCGGTCTTACATATGTAACTGGAATTTTCATACATATATGAATCGAACAGACCGATGTTCTAACCAAGTCTAGAAAACATATTTTCGTTACATATACAACACACACAGAAGTATAAACCTACATATTAAAAACTAAATATCTTTACTAATTTTGTAATTAATCAACAGTTCATTTGCAAGATGGTGAGGTTACCTTGAACACGTCCTTATTGGATTTGTACAATGCATACTTACCTCCAAAAACTCAAACTTGTGGTTGACAAGACATGCGAGGCCACCAATTGGGATTACGAAATAGGGAAGACGAAAAAGATGATCATTTGTATCTAGAGTTGTCTTGAACTTAGAATACATGCAGTAGACCGTTAAATACGATAAAACAATAAATGTAATCTTCATTATTGTGTTATATGCAGATATGTAGTATACGAACAAGTCAACATATCGAGCAGTAAACACCAACGCAAACATAATTTGAGTTTTGCCCGAGAGACCTGCAGAAGTTTAAATTATTCAATCAGAAACGTACCCTTGCATGAACGAGTAGAATATATTTTGAGTAACAATATGATAAGTGCGGCAAGGTGGGAAAGATCTCCCAAAAGTCGGAAGATATTCATGTTAGCCGAAGAGCAGACAAAGTTGCCAGCGACAAGCAATTTGTATCCGAGCCACGTTATTTTTTCATTCAATATCCAATATATCCAATATCATTTTCACAAGCTAGTATAAGTCGATGGATTCTTTTGCTCTAGATTCGTATCCTTTATATTCGGTTCCAGGAATTTGGTAGTTTCCGATGGAGGGTAGTCTAGCAATTTGACTGCACTAATTAGTGCCAGATGGCAGTCATTTATGAATTTGTATGTCTCGTGACTTGAATGAGTACATTGTGTTACAGGGCAGTAGGAGTTGTGAATACCAGCAGCTTTCAACGAAGTGTAAGTGAGGGAGTGGAAGTAGAGATAATCAGCTAAATAGATTAAATCAGTGATCTGAGGAAATGGAATTAGTGACAGCTAGCAACCCTCAAAACAAGAATCAATCACAGCTGGTCCAATAGTGAGGTCTTTTCTTGCAGATATCCGCTAAGGGGTCTGTGATCATTTTAAATGGGAAATCATTCCAAGTTGCAACAACTCTTAATGAGAAAAAGTGTGCAAGAACCTAGGTGTTTGAGGATAACCTCGAGGGATACGATGATGATGCTTCGGCAAGAAGCCCATGTTGGGATGATCTAAAGTGATCATTAAGTTGTTCACCATTATCAGATCATCTCTGAACCTGACATAAAAAAGTAGGACACAGTGGTATGAAAATGACCCCTCAGAATACGGTAAGCTATAAATAAATCACCACAACATTCATTAAGGCAGCATAAATGGGTTCAGTTCTTTCGCAGTCTTTATCCGTCGAAATTGAGCCTTTAGTAGCAAAAATATCCCCAGAATACATTGGTCTGCAAGTCACCGACGTTGGCGCTGACTTCGACTATTCTAGTGTACATACCGCAGATGAAGGCACTCATTCATTGGATACACAGTACTGTATGCTACTGTTCGGCTTTCCCAAAGACTTTCCTATCATGTATGTATTTGTATACTTGTCAACGCCATATTTTCTGGGTGCCTGTAGAATACACTTTATAAGTATAAGTAGTATTCAGCGGTAGGTCCTACTCAGTTCTGGATTCGCTGGATTAGAATTATGTTAAAATGAAACTCAACATTTTTCTCAATTTAGATATTTTTACTGGAAATTATTTCAGAACATTTTGTACTCTGCAAGTAATGCACTTGAAGATCAGTTACTGATGTGAGCTTCGGCAATGCTTTCTGGCTAGGAGTGAGATTTATTTTGGCTGACTCGCCTCCAAAATACAACCAGCTACACTTCTCAGTAATTGCTTCTAAGTTCCAAAGTTTACACCAGTCATCTACATAATTGAGTTCATATAAGATTACAACAGCCGCTCTACAGTCCTATAGATCTTTTTGGCGTATGGATAGGTTTCGCTTATCTTGAAGTAACTGTATATGCTGTTGTTGTAGATTATGAAAAGCACAAAACCGCTGGTTATTGGTTTAAGTGTAGATGTCGCTGAGTTAGTTTTAAGTATTTGGTTCACATTCCGCAGGGAAGACCTAACCCATTACATTAAGGAGTCAGTTATTCCGACAGTCTAAAGTCAGTTGATAAGGAGGTTGAGAGGTACCTAATGAAAAGCCTTCTTGATATTGAAATACAGCACGACCACTTGTTGATTTTATCATGTATGCAAGTAACTTCAATAAAAAAATCTATCAGACATCTTGTGCATGACCTAGTTCTAATGAAGCTGTGTTTTGAGGGTCGACCAGACCCTCTCTGAGTAAGTGACCAGACAATTGATCTACTATCACTTTCTTCAAAACCATTGAGCTAACTGGGATGATGTCAATCGTTTTTTAGTTCTGGATTATGTTTTTCAGCCCTAATTTGTAAGTTCGGGACAGCATGAGTCAATTTTCAGGCCTCGAGGCATGCACCAGCCTCTAGAGATAACGTAAATATTTTGGGCGATAATGCTATTATCTTCGGTCCTGTTACTTCAAAGAGTATGGGTGGTATTTCATCTACAACAGTGCTTGTGTTATTGTTACGTCCAGTTTTTTGCTCGTCGATCTTACGAAGCACTGTTGTCGTCTATTGGTAATTCAAGGTCCCAAATTTCTATACCAAGAACGAAACTCCAAAGTAGATACCAAAGTTTATTCCAAATCACAAATTCCACCAAAATAATTTATTACAAATAGACGACCAATGTCGTTCTAACAACAATAATTATAATAATTACAGTTACCTTCTAATTTATTATCTCTTGGAGCAAAAAACTGTAACGAACAACAAAGAGAAACGGGAGTCCAATATGTCCGCAAATAATAATTCAAACAAGTTCATAAGTTAAGTAAAACAAATGTACCCAAAAACAGTGAAATTAATGATATTTATACATGAAGGTTTTGATCAGCAAAATGTCTTCGTTTCTCCCGTAACACTCCCGACCAAAAGAACCTTGGTTCTTTTCACCGACAAAAATATATAACAACAATCCAAGTATGTGCATCACAAGCAATCAACAACAAGCATGCAATATTTCAACAATCTCGTGATCCCTAGGACTTACACCAGTACGCCTAGGGATCCGAGTAGCTACCTACCATCTACCGCTTCAAGAAGACACAGTTTACGTATATCTCTCACTAGGATCCCCTTTCTTGTCCTTAGTTCTACCTGTCTCACTAGTCTGTCCTTACTTGGTATCACTCTCTGTACTAGACCTAAGGGCCACTTGTTTTTCTCAGAGAAGTCAGAGCATATCATTACTAAGTCACCTTCTCGTATGTTCCTCTCTAACTGTGTCCCCTTGTATCTACGCTGCAGCAGTGAAACATACTCCTTAGACCAACGTTTCCAAAATACTTGCGCCAAGTAACTCGCTTGCTTCCATCTCTTAGAATACCTGTCATTAGATACAGTGTCGGTAAATTCTGCAACATTCTCTCTATTATCACTGCCACTACTAAGGTTCTGATGACTACTACTTCTATTGCTAGTCATAGCATCCGAAAGAGAACGAAGTTTACACTTCTTAATATTAGTAGCATCATGTTGTTTCTTATGCTTCTTAGCTTGGGTGGCAGTATGCAAGCGTAACGTACGATCATTTCGACGACGATGAGCGTCCTTTAACTTCCATAGATCACTATTACCCGCCGTACTACCAATGCTATTATCATTGGTAGTCGCATCTGTACAAGTAGCAATACACTTCTCATGATAACCAGTCGACTCATACACAGTATCCAACCTTACTCGATCAACAATACTTTCATTACCAGGAATGCTCTTAACCTCTTCTATCTTATCACTGTTGGTAGTGCTCATCCCGATACCTGTAGTACGAGTCAATGATGGTGAAGTGCGACAGGTGGACAATTCCATGCTTGATTCCTCATGCTGCATATTCAAAACAACAGCATGTCCATTAAACCTAGATGACTCCTCATTGCACCTAGGGTACCGAATGTTAGCATTCTCAGTACTGCCATCACTATAGCTAAAGCTATTGCCACCGACGCCTACGTTCTCCACTCTCAAACATCCAATTTCGTCTTGATTCGAAGTACTCAAAGAAGCTACATTAGCAGCGTCAACCGACGAAACAGCACTATCTATAATGATTCCACTATCGTTACCATCTCGTTTATTATTCACATCAATTACACTATTAATAGATACATGGGGTTTCACCTCCACCTTGACGTTATTGTTGTCGACAATGATGTTCCGACTATTCACAGTTAATGACGAGTTGCGAGATAGTTGGCATGCAGGCTTCAAAGCTACGCTACCACTTTCACTAACACTATCAATGTCGATATGACCACTTCGACTAGTATACGACCGTCCATCCGTTGACCGTAAACAAACATCAGCAGGACGCGCTAAGCAGCTATTATCTTCCGCTTCAATATCATGATGCTCCATAGAACTAGATATAGTAGCCTGCAGACATCCTGATTGCTCAGCAACATGAAGTGCTGTGTCACTATATACACTTGTTGTCCTAGGATCAACTCTAGGTCCTGTTAAATAATTTACGTTACGTGAAAGGTTCCGAACATAAGCTTTATTCCATACAGTCAAACCTGTTTCGTCTTTGTTCTTATTCACTAACCTCTGTTTGCTCGAATCCAGATAACCGTTCCTTGATGTTCGAGCAGTTAAGAGGCTTTTACCATCACACACTTCGGATCCATCTTGATGCCTACACTTTTCACCCTTTTCTTTCTTTTCCATACTTAGAAAAGCCATCTTATCTGTTACACCAACCGGCTTCTTGCTAGGACACGCATCAAGAGGTTTTACATCGTTTTCTATGAGCTTACATTCTAATTCAGCCATATCAACTTCCTCTTGAAGCTCTAACATTTTAAGCTGCTTTTCTAACTCAAGTCTCTTTTCCAAATTCTTCTTCTTAATTAATGCCTTATCTAACTTCAATCTAGAAGTACTAAACTGAGATGAAGACTTACTATTAACACTAATATCATCAAGTTTATCATCATTAACATCAGACATACCACAAACAGCTTTAGAATATTTACCATCCATTTCGTCCTGCTCCTTCAGCCTTTTGCTTCTAGTTTCCATTGGATGCTTTTGTTAGAAATCGATTACCAAGCAAATATGAAATTATTCCAAACGTATTCGGCCAATAATAACAAAATGTCCAAAAGTATCCAAAATATAACCAAAGAACCAAAATTGAATTGTCCAAAGTATCCAACGACCAAATTAAAAGTTAGAAGAACCTTTGGACCCAAATTTCCAAAAGTTTCCAGCGACCAAAAATTGAATTGAAGAACCTCTGGAGCAAAACGACCAAAAATCCAATATATGACGAAATTAAATTAGAAGAACTTCTGGAGCCAAACGACCAGAAGAATCCAGTTTATGACGAAATTAAATTAGAAGAACTTTTGTTACGTCCAGTTTTTTGCTCGTCGATCTTACGAAGCACTGTTGTCGTCTATTGGTAATTCAAGGTCCCAAATTTCTATACCAAGAACGAAACTCCAAAGTAGATACCAAAGTTTATTCCAAATCACAAATTCCACCAAAATAATTTATTACAAATA